GTGTGTGTGTGTGTGTGTGTGTGTGTGTGTGTGTGTGTGTGTGTGTGTGTGTGTGTGTGTGTGCGTGTGCGTGTGTAATCACCAGGTAGCCTTGGTGAGCATAAGGAATGTCTTTGCCAACACACTTACAGTATGAATGAGGAAATTAAATCTATAGTTTAACATATTAATATTAAATATGACATTAAATAAAGAGAGACAGATCAGGTTTGGAGAGAACTGAAAGACAGAGGAATTGGCATCTGTACACCCTAACAGATGCTGCCTAAAGTGCAGACCCCAGAAGAGTCCCCCACACATCCAACAGAACATTAACACCAATAAACTGAGATGAGCGGAAACCCCTTTCACACACATCACACAACTCCTAACAGGCTGTATGAAGCACACACACCGAGCATTGACCTAAAACCAGAGGGCAGACGGCACATTCCTCACATTCCCGAGTGTGTCAGCTGAGATCGTTTGATGGAGATCAGAGCAGACAGACTCTGTAAGACGACACCACATTAATAGTGAACAGAAGTCTGTGTAAAATCACTATACTGATCCTATCTTAAAAAAAACTGACAGCATTGCCTGTTCTCATTCTGGTTTTTGTTGAGACACCAAAGGAAGATGCAGTACATGTATAGTTGGATACATGCTGACATACAGCCTGGGGACATCTGTCCATCTTTACATGCCCTGTGACCCCTCAACTCTGAACTTTTTCAGAGTTTAGAACGGCTTTTAAATGGCAGTGTAGTTTACGGAGCCCCTAAAGGGACCTTTGCAAAAATAAAAAAATCCATTGATTTTTGCATGCAAACAAGAAAAAAAAACTGCTAACATGAAAAATGTATTGTGCGCACATAAAAATTTCACATAAGCATGCAAATGTTTCACGTAAGTACGCAGTAGCTTCTCGTGCTCATTAAATCTTTTGCCTATTTGCATGCAAAAGTCAGATTTTTTTTATTTTTGCAAAGTTCCCTTTTGGTTTGTCATACTAATCTTTTCTGTGTTCAGTTATATGACAATTTTCACAGCTTTGTTTCAGACATAGTCCAAGCACTTGTGCTACTTCCAACAACAGGACTAATGGATTTGGAACGTCTGCTTTGAAGCGTCCAGTGTAGACAGCCAAAATTCAGCTTTGCATTACATGAATAAATACAATTTTAAAATATAGTGAAATATTTAATTTTATTTGATTAGAATTTGATATTTTTAATATTTTTGATATTTTTCTATTTTATTTGTTTTTTTATTTAATTAAATTTGACTTTATTTTAAATTGTAATAATATTTTATAATATTGTTGATTTTACTGTATTTTTTGATCAAATAAATGCAGCCTTGGTGAGCATGAGAGACTTCTTTCAAAAACATTAAAAAACTTCGAGGCACCAAACTTTTACATGGTGTGTAGTTTTTTCACATTAGTTTCTTAGGCTTACCACAATCTGTTCTTTAACTCTTTAACCATCTCATCATCACGCAGATGGTACATGTGAAGTAATCTCTAAAAATATACCCTCCACACAACTGCTTTACTGAACACAGGAGCTTCATTGTGTGAGCCCTGTTGTTTGGTTCCTAATGAAAAGGTATGAGGTGGTTCCTCCTGATGATGTGCAGATGTAAACAGGCCTACAGGCGCACACATGAAAAGACCAGCACATCTGCTGTGTCTAACTATGTGACAGCACCTGAACACCGCACAAGACCAGCGGACTGATCACATGCCAGAGTTCTGCACACACACAACACAGAATGGCTGTGCTTGAGCATGTGTGTGAAGTGTAACTGTGTGCGTTAGTGAATAAAATGCCTTTATCCCACCCGTGTTGTAACGTCTGCTGTTGTTTGGCTTTCCATTACTCCACGTACCAATTACTTTGCTATTACCTGCCAAGTCAAACAGCAGCTGCTTATTCATCTGCTAAGCCCAGACAACTAGCTCACATCTGATACCTACAAATGCTGGGTTTACACTTCTAAAAAATGTGCTTCAGGGCTTCTGAAGTTACATTAAGTTCAAACGGTAACACTTTTGTATAGGGACCAATTCTCACTATTAACTATAGTTGCTTATTAGCATGCCTATTATTAACATTTTGGCTGTTTATTAGTGCTTATAAAGCACATAATGTGCATGACCATATTCTACATCCCTAATCCTACCCAATACCTAAACTTAACAACTACCTTATTAACTATTAATAAGCAGAAAATTAGGAGTTTATTGAGGCAAAAGTTGTAGTTAATGGTTTATTATTAGCGAGAATTGAACCTTAAAATAAAGTGTGACCATTCAAACTATTACAGTGAGAAAACAATCTATAGAAAAATGGAAAAGGTACTGGTAATTGTCAGCCAGAACATTGTCCATTAAGATATGAATATTTCCATTAGTCCTAAAACAAAATACAATGCATAACTCAACACATGGGTAAAACGCCTATTAAAAATTCATATGAAAATTCCTTCATATTAACGCAGTACACTGGGCCTTTTTTTAACCACAGTAGTATTGCACATAAAAAAACGTATATGACATAAATACAACAAAGTAACTCTCAAGAGATAGTAACCCTTTAATAAAAATTAATGAGGGGAAAAAAATGTTTTTATTAACAATAAAGCATTAAAAAGTATATATGATTCTTGAAATTAATTTAGTGTCTATCAGAAATAATGTTTTAATATCAGACATGCCAAATAAATGAAATTATCTGATGCCTGCATTCCTGGAATTATGGCAGTAATTATTTGCAGTTATTCAAATTGACAATATGCAAAATTGAAAATATACAGAAGTGCTCTGTTCAACTCCCCAAGACACTTTTTCCTCTATTAGAGAACTTTATCCAAAGAATTCAGAAAGCTTTCTGTCTTACCTCTGCATAACAGCAGACAACGGAGAGGACAATGAATGGAGAGAGTGTCCTAATAATCTGCAGAAAGATAGAAGTACCGAAGAAGATATATAAATGCGAAAAAATATAAGTACAAAGATATGAGATGTATTGGTGCACATATAAGGTCTGTCTCATGAAGCATGATGACTTACCATTATCAGGAAGTGAGAGAAGAAAGGAGAGATCCGAGGAGCTGCTGCACAGACAGAGAGAGAACTGAAGGACAACATTACAGAGTTCTGGAGAGATCCAGTGATTCACCCTCCCCCACACCCCCACCCCCAAACACACACACACACTCACACACACACACACACACACACACACACGTTTACTTAGCTATCTAAATGGGGACATTCCATAGACTTGTAGTGCTTTTATATACAGCCGGTTATAAATACTAACATTAATCTACATGCACTCTAAACCTAAAAAAAAACTCAATTTAATTTATTTTTATACTGTTTTTACAAATGAGGAAGTCCCCAAAGGAGGTTGTAGGAGGTTTGTCAGATCTAGTTCACTTCAGAGTATAAATTTGTCCCAAAAAAGTAGGTACACAAAGAAGGGCTATTCTTAGTTAGAGTCAATAAAACTTTATTGGCATGCTTTATATGGACTACAATTGCCAACCCATTCAAATTCTTATAAAACAGGTTAAATTAAGTATAATGGATGGAATAAAAATAGAATTTGTATGTATATGTGAGTAACTTTGTCTTTCATTAAAAGTCAAGTCAAGTCAAGTCACCTTTATTTATATAGCGCTTTTAACAATACAGATTGTGTCAAAGCAACTGAACAGCATTAATTAGGAAAATAGTGTCAATAATGCAAAATGACAATAGTAAACACTAAAAGTCATAAACAAATCATAATGCCGCATGATCATATTTAAAATCAAGTATTCAAAGGAGGAAAAACAAAGGGGGGAAAAACAGTCACTCTCTCTTTATATTTATTTATTTATGAAGAGTTAATTTGCAAAAACAGATGACTCCGTTTTTAAAAATGTTTTAAAATCATGTTTTTTTTTATTGTGCATTCCAATTAATCTCAATCAAACTGCAGTCGGGTTACTTTGATTAGGTAAAAAATAACTAAAAAATACAGCTAGCTAACACAATAAAACACAATAAAGACATGATAACATAAAAAAACATGAGTTTTGAAAATTAACAAAAAAAACGTAGTAATCTGTTTTTGCAAATAAACTCTTCATATATTCAAATAAATAAATTGGTTTGTATTGTACTATATTATAATAATGTAACTTTTGGCTAGAGGTCTAATAATTGTGGAAGAAATGTATATTTTAATGTGCATAAACTACTTGAATCTGTCCAATATAGGAATAGTTTGCCCAAAATGTGAAAACATGGACATAAATCACTAAGAACAAAAAATGAAACACAGAACACATAAGAACAATGTCCTAGAGGTTAGGAATGACACAAGAATTTTCCTTTTTGAAATTGTAGACTATTCCTTTAATATTTGTTATTTATGAATCTCACCTAATTAGTGATTTAGTGCAACAGCGCCCTCTTATGGCCCTCTAATCGTCGTGACCAATGAAATCAAAAGGTGTTTGCACTTATAACTCACTATAATACGTTATTAAGACATTTCCTAATACTGAAACAAGACCAAAGTTCATTGTTTTAGACTAGTCCATTTATTTGTACTGTACTGTACAATCTGAATTGCCTGGTTTACTCTGTGGTCAGTGATCCGTGAACCACTCATAATACACTGAGTTTACCCTCACTTTGTAAATTATTTTTTTCTCTTTTCTTCATCTTTTTAGAGACCTAAAAAATAAAGACCGAGCTAGAATGACCCTCTGCATAAACAGATACTACATAGAGGCTTGAGGTAACTGTTTGACAGCAAAACTGAGAAGTGTGAATTCTTCAAATCTGCGTCTGTGACCTTTCAAAAAATAACTAATAACCAATAGAATAATAAATAATCAAGCTATCTGCATGTCTTTCTCTATATCAACGCACTGCTGTCCTTTGCATTTGCTAGAGCGATAATGTAAATAGGAAAATATTTTACCTCATCTCTGTTCGGTTGTGATTTTTGCCTGCGAAATTGAAGCAAATTTTTCATTTTGTAATATTAAAATGTTACATGTAGTTGATTCATTTGAATGAAGATATGACTTACTTTTTGTACTGCTGAAGATTAAATAAAAACAAGCAGATACTGAATGCCTGAAAGAAAGTAAAAAAACACCAAAGGATGGACAACACGACCATTATTGAAAAGTTGGCTAAAAATCTGAGACTGAGAGGATGAGAAGTACCTAGAAAGAAAGAAAGAAAGACTTTTAAGACATCGTATAATGTCAGTTCTGTATTTTAAAGCCACTATTTTCCACCTGTAGCTTTTTTAAAATAATTTTCATGCAATGACATTCATAAGAGCACTGAAAATTGTAAAGTTCAGAATTAATGCAGTCATTTAATAAATGTCTGTCTTGTCTTCTGTCTCAGTTTAGTTCACAATGATATACATCACCAAGTCTCAGCACACCCTCAGATTGATTGTTATCCATTCATCTGCTGAAATCAAAATGACATCCTAAAAAGTAGCATGAGATTAGTGAAAATATTCTGCACTAATGTTTTCCTCTTATAAAAATTAGGCAAAAACCGCCTCTGTGGTATAAATCAATGAAAACTGACCAATAAAACCTCTGATATCTGCTGCTTGCAGGGCCGGATTTACGCATAGGCATTCTAGGCACGTGCCTATGCTTGCTCATCCAGGGGGGGCCCAAACACAATGAAGAGAGATATCATATTTTTGTTATACTATGGGATATCTACAACAGTAAAAGAACCAAAAACCCAGAAGACATTGAGCAAATAAATATAACAAACAGGCTATTTCCATGTCTTCAACCTTTTTTATGTAGCTACACTCTTAAAAATAAAGGTGCTTCAAAAGGTTCTTCAAGCGATGCCATAGAAGAACCATTTTTGGTTCCACAAAGAACCATTCAGTCAAAGGTTCTTTAAAGAACCATCTCTTTCTTGCGTTTTTGTAATCTGAAGAACCTTATTTCGCCACAAAGAACCTTTTGTGAAACAGAAAGGTTCTTCAGATGTTAAAGGTTCTTTATGGAACCATTTAGACAAAAAGGTTCTTCTATGGCATCGTGAAGCACCTTTATTTTTAAGAGTGTATACGGAAATCACGCTTTCTTTCTCCTGTTCTCTCTCACAGACGCACACACACACACACCCGCGCACACACACGGACAGAAACTTGTTGTCAGCACTTCCCCGCAAATTTGTTAAAACAATAGTTTCGCAGCTGAAAAGCTACATGACATTTCTCAGTAGCGAGGTTCTTGAAGCAGTTCAACTTAAAGATTCGCTATTAGTAGACGCTGCTGCTGAACACTGCTAAGAGACGCACAGAAGCAGGTATTATTCACACTCGCTTAATCTCTCTCTCTCTAATAACTGCGTTAGACTGCATTAATAACTGCATTAGCCTGCATATCAATGGCTCAAGCCTCTGTTATCAGCTCTAAAATGACGTTTTGGAATTTGCAAGGGAAGGTTTGGGATGAGGTGCGTAAAAAATTAGCTAGTTCAACACAGGAGATTTCAGGACAGAAACATGTTAAAGGGGTCATATGATGTTGCTAAAAAGAACATTATTTTGTGTATTTGGTGTAATGAAATGTGTTTATGCGGTTTAA